ATTATATGTGCTTGATCTTCAGTACTCGATTATGTAATCACTTCAATATATTGTTCAAAAGGAAAACCAAATTATTTTATAAGTTTGACAGAGTGATTGTTATTAATATTAATATATATAATTACATATTATCTTACTAAAAGTATTGTAATTAACTTACAAGTACAATGTATTACTTTTATAACTATTATAATCAATCAACTATTGTTACAAATAACTTATAATATAATTTTAGCAGATTATAATAAGAGTTAAGTACTTGTATCTTACATGTAATGTTGTAATAATACTATTAGTAAGCTTACTTGCTCTAAAACATGTTTGTAGTTTAATAGAAACTTTGTATATTTCTTACATTTATATACAATCATTATAATTACATTACAAGTAAAATATAAGTATTATTTTAGAATGTAATACTTATGAAATCATTTTATTAGATTACTTTTGCTATTATTAAATATATTTGTTGTGACTTTTTTGTAATGACATACAAGTCATTAATGCTCTTGAAATTGTATACTTTTGCATTCTTAAACAGTACCACCTTACTGTCTTTCAACATCTCCTTAACAGGTCTATATCCTTCTGTCATCAAAGTAGTTACTAGATAGGTATAAACATTACCTTCCTTAGCAAAGACTCTAGTTTTACTATCTATTGAGCCAAAGTCACTAGACTGTATATACTCAGTAGTTTAGAGACTAAGAAGGTTAGCCTATTGTACAGTACTACTCACCTTGATTCTGATACTTGGGTCCAAGTTTGGGATTGAGGCTGTTGTCTCATATATCATATCTACAAACTTGTGTAAACTGGTCAACTTTCAGAACATTACTAAAGTAGTTGATAGGCATCTGTGGAGAGTAAGTGTATGTGGTCAAACTTGAGAAGACTGATACAGATTCCCCTGAATTTAAAAGCACTCCTGCTTGCCAGACTCTTTATGAAGATGTGGGTAAAAGCTGATCAGATTCCTTTATCAGTACAATTGCTTAGGCTTTTGCTCCTTTGACTTAGTAGCTTAATAAATTGTAGTAAGTAAGGCTAATAAAGAGAACAAAGACTCTAAGGGAATGTGAGC